TATATATATAGCATGTCGTTTGGAGCTGTATTTTGGTTACGATCTGCCTATCACAAACACCGCGTACATATGCAATCAGACCTGTAGCAATGGAGATACTTCAACAGCCGCACAGAACTTGGAGGCTCTTCGACAGGTTGTTGAGCGTTTCCCCGAGTACAAGGGTAGAGATCTGATCATCACCGGCGAATCCTATGCTGGCGTATACATTCCCACCTTTGCCTTGAATATTGTCAAAGACAAGACTTTGGATCTCAAGTAAGTCCTTATGCGAAGTTGATCCTATTTTTATCGATTTTATTGTAAGTTGATACCTGCCATGACTGTCGAATTTAATGCCTATACTGGAGTGGGTCTGCGTGTGCATTGTGTGGATCTTTTTTCGCGCTTTCATCACAAAACAATTTGAAAACTTATCTTCTTGATAATACTCTCACTAATTCAATTAACACGTGCGTACACACCATTCCGTCTATCAACCTTGCAGCTTGATATCGCTCCTGGTAGGGAATCCATGCACCGATGATGCCACACAGAACAACTACTTTGGCTGGAACCTTCGTTACGCTTTCGAAAATGGTCTTTTGGACGAGAATCTATACCACACACTCACCGTAAAGTGTGGCATGCTACCAAACGATTCGCGCTCTAAGATCGTCTCCAAGCAGCCCGAGTACGTGTCTTGTCACTCACATACAAAACGCCTGTATTTGCCTGCCTGTCGTCTACAATTTGATCGCGATTATTCCTGACAGCATCTCCGCTGCAAGTGCCTTTTCATCATAATCTAATTAATTCGTCGCCAATTGTTTTGTAACCTCAGGTGTGTCTCTGCCTACCGTCAGTTCCTTCTTGCCAGCTCAGACAATACTGGTACCGAGGCCAAGCTGCCTGGAACTGGTAGGTTCATTCTTCCCTACCATGCATACAATATTTTATGAATACTTTGATATTCGTAGTAAATACACGCACCACATCTTAGGACGTACTTCACCGGTACACGTATGAATAAGTCGGGTGAAGCTTGTATGTAATTGTCACACAAGTATATGCACGCTCTCCCACAGGATTTGTCGATGGGTACGCCACTTTCGGTGCCAAGAACCAGCCATACTGGGACGAGGCCGCTCGCTGGTTGAACAGAGACGACGTGCAGGAAGCTTTGCACGTGAAGAGCATGGCTATTCAATGGGGTCTCTTCGCCACACGCCTCAACTACACTAAGGAGTACAACGCCTGTAACAACGGTCCATCTGACAGCCACAGATACAGCATTTCCATGGTGGAGGTACGTTCGTTTGTTATTTCAAGAGTATCCTTTATTTATTGTCAGAGGATATGTCGCCCGCGCTCTACGCAATGCGCACAAATCGGGTGCACTTAGCGGCATGGAGGCTGTGTGCATGTCACTAAACGCACCGTAGCCAACTCGTCGTGTCTCATTTTCTCGGTTTTATTCTCCGTCGGATTTGGGAACAACCTTTGATCGTGGGGTTTGCATTCTGCCTGTTGCATTGAGTCCCCATTCCATTGTTGAGCAATGCCAAGCGAATATGAGCGAATCTCATGATCTGAACGTTCTTTCTTTTCGACATCATACAATTTCCTTACAGGTATACCAGCAGCTGGTTGGCAAAATCAGAAACATCGTCCTTTTCAATGGAGACTCAGATCCTAGTGTGGTAAGTCCGAAGTCTGTATAAAAGTGTTACAGCACATTATCACTAGTTGCCGCGCATGAATCAGTCAAGCACATGGTTTTTGTGAATTGAAGTTCATGCGTGTATGTGTGGTTTTATTATGCTGAATACCCTTCTTCGAAAACAGGCCCAAGACGGGCCTGTATGATCTCACTCATACACGTACGCAACTTAGCACATTGGTGTGCATATGCCATCCGAGCACAAACGCTCAGACGCTTTCGGACTATCTATGCACAACCTGTAAATGCACCCAGTAGGGTTGCAAGAGACCAGTATCAGGTCAGCTAGCTTTCCTGCCTGTCCTTAAGCGAGACAAGCACGGACAGACGAATTGCGCTTATCTCGCATTCCTTGCAATCCGAATATGCAAAGTACGCCTCTACAAACAGCACGTGCACAGCACCCGCTCATAACATTATACAATGTACACATACATTAACAATCACCCACTCATAACATTATACGAATGCACACATACATTTACAATCACCCACTCATAAAAACATACGAATGCACACATACATTCACAATCAGCAAATGCACGGAACCGCCAACGCCGTCCGTTCGTTCGGCTTCCCCGAGGTGAAGGATTGTGGCTGGCGCCCGTGGTTCTACAAAACTACTGCCACTGCCGAGTCGGTGATGAAGCAAAAGTCTCCCTATTGGGGCATTGATTTGTCTCGCACTGAGAATGGCGTGCAGATGGGTGGGTACGTAACCAACTATGAGAAGGGCCTGTCCTTCGTCACTTTCCACGGAGCCGTGGGTCACATGGTGAGTTAATCGGAAACTGTGTATTTACCAGGATGTCAGGGGTTGAGATTTCAATCCGAAAGCTGTGCAGTGACTGTACTGTCAGGGTTTTCAGGGTTCTACTTTGGGACTTGTGTAGTGGCAATGACAAGAAAATAGAGCGCCAAGCGACGAGAGGGTATTTTTTTTAGTTCTTTTGGTGTGATTTTAAGGGCGTGTTTTTGTGCGAGATATTTCAGTTTTTGTATTCTTTGCTGGGACCATGACGTGTCCCTGAATGTATATCTATCAGTTAAGTAGAGTCTTCTGTTTACGCACTCATTAACTCACGGTCCCATTCCACTATCACAGGTACCTCAATACAAGACGGTTGCTGCACTTCACTTCCTGCACAAGACCATGGACAACGCCATCCTATCTCCACCGCTACCGTCTGAGGATGAGATGGCGGTGTCTGACAACGACTTTTTCGGAGACGGTGTGATGGCTAAGTGGGTAGCCAAGGCCCAGACCGACGAGTTTTTAAAGTAATCGCACTTTTAGTTCGACGATGGCTGAAGGGATCTCTGATGTTTGCTTATGGTGTGTTGAAAAGGTACGCCAGCTGAAGGCAGATAGGCGAGACGATACATTTCACGTATGCTGCTGCAGACACGATTTGAAGTGGACTACTGTGGGGACTGGACGAAAATATTCATATCAGGGGTGCCTGCTGTGCACGGGTTGTTTATGTTACATCGTATGTTTCGATTTTATAGTCTTTTGAGGACGAGTAGGCGAGGTAAAAGCTGGTGTCTCTCATGCGACGTACATTGAAGGCTGCGACTGAAATGTGAGAATGATAATTGAAAAGACTAGCTTAAGCATTTGCAGACTGTCAACGGTGATTGACTGTGAGCTAGCCTAAATGGAATAAATATATATAATCCGTATACCTCACCGTTTTAAATACGCTGAACAAGTAACTGATGAGTGTTTAAGTACCCTGACGCTTAGGTGGCTAGGAAACGTTTTGACAATCGAAACCAATTCTAGTCGCTACAAGCGCTTTATTCACCATTCAAACGGGTGGACCGAATTTATAGCCGCAATGAATGCAAAACAGCAATCGCTTATTAGCATGTCCGCATTCTCCACAAAACCTTGTCATGCGTGCGATTTCATCATTCCAAGCCTTCGCACTTGGTCCGCTATATACACCCGCCGCCGCCACTGCTTTCCCTAATGATTCAAGCCGCCTATCAGCTACTCCGTCCACATTCCGAGGGTCCATTCTCTGTCTCCGTGACTCCTCAGTACCGTCCTGTAGACTTGCAGGACTTCTTACCCCTGCCTTTGTATTTGTACTTTGTGTACTACCATCCTGGTTCGCAGAACGGGGCTGGGCCTGCTGCTCACCAACACTACCCACACACAGTGGGGGAGCGGACGCTGCCGTTTGTTTCACAACTTTCGAAGTGGCGTTGGTAACATCTGCGGTGGCATGGTGGTGTACGGCTGGTATGGCCCGATGGTTTGCATCGGTGAGGGGCACAGCGTCGTCGTACGCTGGGGGTGCATGTGGGGGTGTCTCCTGTGCAGTCCTTGTTTTTGAGCTCGGTTCGACCGAGTTCAATGTAGACGCTATACCTGATGCCACCCCGTTAATACCGTGGGTTGGCGTTCGAACGTAAGGTGCAGGGACGGGTGGGTATGGTCGTTGCTCGGCGGGATCTGGTGGGATGCACATTTGTCCTGATTGCGTGCTTGCATCGTTTTCATGCGTATATGTGGGGGCGTCCGATGACGAAGTATATAAATGTGGTGAAATAGATAAGTGTGTGGTTGAATGTGTGGTCCTGGAGTCTATCGATGTTAGTGAGGAGGTACTCAGCACCTTCATGAGCTCCACGATATCCGCTCTCCCTTGATTTGCGGCAATTTTCACAGGTGTGTATCCCAACTGGGAAGGCAAGAATATCAAAAACAGAGGATAAGCGGCCATAGTAAGGATTCGACGCGTAGTGAAGCCGACCATGCACCTCCCAAAAAACCCAGAGAAACAACTATCAAGGAGATTTGATGGCGAGGAATGCATGCTGCAAAATGCCAAGTGCACAAGTTATGTATACACAACAAAGATTCTTACCTGATCTTTAATATTTACGCTGGCCCCTCTGCTCAGCAAAGCGTGCAGTGTCGGGATGTCACTATTTTCGGCCGCGTAGTGTACTGCGGTCCTCAGGTTCTGCAAACAATCAGGTTGGAGTGTGATGACGGGTATCTTGGAAGGGACAGAGGGCATGCTATATACTTGACAGCGCCACGCGATCATGTAACATGTAATAGTAGAAAATATTGGGTTGTAAATGGTAGTGCGACCCTTCACGTACCTAAACGCCGGACACCATTGGTTTCATAGCAGGGCTGCGTATGCAAAATCACTACACAACACTGGTCGATTGGCAGGCACAGTTCTACAATATTTCCCATCGCTCATACTCACCGTGTCTTTCACATCCATCGCAGCGCCACTATCGCATAAGAGCGTGACTATATCCGTGTGTTTGCCTTGTGCTGCTTTGTGCAACGGCGTCCGCGACCGCTAGAATAGTGATAGATTTCAAGCCGTGAGTGGGAATAGCACGAGGAATAACATGCACGGTATTGTGTGTTTCTTGCGCGTATGCCTCAACAATAGTACACACAAGTACCACATGCTGTGTTGGTAACTATAGACGCTTCTATGACTTGTTCGCGAGCACGCACCATATCCGACATCCCAAGCGTGTTAATTCTTCTATTTTTTTTTGCCATGTATTCTGGGAAAGGATAGCGATTGTACCAGTAAGTACCTAAGTCCTAGCGGATTGCGATCTGCATACCCGTCCATTCTTGACATGTACAGTAGCCCCATATCGAAGCAGCTCTGCGACCGTATCCATGTAACCGTTCTTGCAGGCGATATGCAATGGCGTATAGCCCTTCAAATCCGCCAAATTAGGGTTCGCACCCCCTTGTAAGAGTATCTTTGTGCACGTGTGATCGCTGTGTCCGCATGCGTAGTGGAGCGGGCGCAGATCATACTGAATGAAAGATGAAACAGGGATATATTCAGGAGACAATACACTCACTGTGATGCAGGTTGTGTGGTCTAGTGCACTGAAGAACTTCGATAGACGGGTTCAATCACAAACGGAAAGGTTACGGATTTACGACCTTCAAAATGTAGCCATAGCTGGAAGATAACCATTTAAGCATGTGTTGAGCGCGTTGTATGCACAAAAACGCTAAAGCGAGTAATATATATATCTTATATTTAAGCAGCACTCAACAGTTGACATACCCACCTTCCCCTTCACATCCACACTGACTCCCCCATTCTCTATCAAGAAGCTGAGCATGACTGCATGGGGCCCTCTGCACGCCAGATGGATAGCATACTGACCCATCTACGACGGATGATCAACATATTCAGGATTGGCGAATGTTAATAAAAACTTGCAGAAACGTGAACAGACTAACAAGACATTCAAGAAATTCTGATCAGTACCAAATATTCGTCGACAACGGGTGTATTAAGAATACCTATGAACGCTCCCCCCCCGGATGTATTGAATTGCAAAGCCGTATAGCTTGAAAATGGAGATGGTTGTTGTAAAAGAAAATGCGACCTATTGAGACAATGTATAACGTAGAAGTTTACATGGCAGTGCGAGTAGAATTAACGTAAGCTGGGCGATGGGAACAAGGCCATCACAGAAATGGTTATGGCATCGCATGAATACCACCGAAGTACACATTGGTCTGGTGGCGAATCCGGATAAACCTAGTTTATGTGACAGCATAGCAAAAGCAGCAATGATCACTGGCGTTCTTGAGTTCTTTCTTTACCTTTGTTCGGATGTCCATCCTCGCACCATTAGCCACGAGTGCTTTCGCTGTATTGACGTGGCCATATTCCGCTGCCAGGTGCAGTGGAGTACGTCCTGACTGCATGCACGCAACAGCAAACAAAAGTCATTCAGTTGCAGCTACAAGCTATACTTAGTATACAGAGTGCACTCGAGAGGACCATTTGCATCTCCAACCTGCCTTGTGAGGAACATTATCAGATGACATCCAGACTAGACCACGGTTAGGTAGAGAATGATAGAGTGCTTAATAATAACCATACGCGTGACTCACGACAGTTGTAGGTACCACCCAACAGCACAGCACAATCTCATCGACGTATTCGGATAGCAAATTTGGACTTTGGAACTAAGTATATAGAGATACGGTCAACACTGTGATCCTCTTTTGTACGCAAACAGATGATATGTGCATGTTCTGTTGCTATTTGTACAAATGCTTAGCTTACATACTCCGCGCCACGTATAAATACACAAAACGAAATTCACATTAATATCATATCAGATGGGATATATAGATACACAAAGCTTCTGACCAGTCCCTGTCATAAAATGACATATGCACAATCCCACTAGTAGGACATTCTGATACGCACTTACGTAGTCCGTAGAGTCGAGCTTTGCTCCGTATTGGATCAGCAAGGACAACATCTTTTCATTCCCATCGGCGGCTGCTATGTGCAGGGCCTCCTTTCCATCCTACACACAGCAGTGGTTGGTATAAGAAATATGTGAAGAGAGTATTGGGTAAGTGTTTGCTGAGTACATATTTCTGGTGAACTAACTATTTGGGCAGGATTAGCCCTAGCTTTCTGTATTGGGGATGCGCACACCGATACGAATATGGCAAGGGTCATCAGTACTATATTTGTACAGTTTCTCAGCATAGTAGATAGTAGATATAGCTATCAGATACAAAAACTTGTGACATGTGAATTGAGCAGACTGTTAACAGACTGTTAACATGCCAACGTATGTCAGCTGTCATTGGTCCTCAGACTCATTTCCGCAAATGCACTGACAAGCTACAGACGTAACACTGGTTGCCCTCTAAGTGTGTTCAGTTAACTTGATCGTTAGGAATTTTTATATTGCAAGACTGACAAGCAGAGCTACGGGTATGCTTCACTTGCCTTGCACGTGAATGTACACCCAATATGTTAACTGGTGATACAGAAAACCCGCATGCTTGTTTTGTACCAATTGCATAGAATATCAAATCCTACCCCATGCTGCAACTGACAATACACGCCACACACAGGCTTGAGTTATACTACACACTTTATAACTTACCGAATCCCTCTTGTCTGTAGTGTGGCGAGAAGTGCTCCGGACTAGTATTGCCTCAACAGCCTGGGTATCGCCATGTTTTGCTGCGGCCAGTAGTTCTACCTTATCTCTTACTCTCACCATCTCAATCACTGGTAGTTACACTTTCAGTCTGATCGAGTTTGATATATCTTATATGTGAGACACTCCGATCGATTATTTCATGTATTGAATTTAACATAAATTCGTCAACGCCGCTCAAGTGTGATGTGTTTGTATTATAGTATGTATTAGCACGAGCTAGGCAGCATAGTATATCCGTGTAAATACAGCGCCGTCTGGGAGGTTTATGATCTTAATGGCCATGTAAGTAAAATGCGGAGAATAATCGAATGATGTTGAGTTCTGTGCTATAAGGTGGTTTGCTGTAGCGGATATGTGAGGTATATCACCCAACACACCGGTTAAATACAGCCGTGCGGAGAAATATTATTAAGAGCATATCTAGAAAGGTGCATATTTTAAAAAATATAGTACACTATTTAAAAAAAATACTCACAACAGACTAGAAGTCAGTGTGTAATCACACAGTTCACACAACAGTTGGCTTTTTTTTATAACTATCATGACGAGTCTCCAACACCCATATATGAGAAAGCTGACATTTTGGCGGGCTCAATGCTCGAGAGGTGTTTTTATTTTACTCCCATCTTCTGGACTGATGAGAGTTGAGACTCTGCCTGTCTGCCAGAGACAGCCTGGACGCCCTGACTTGTCTGGCCCCCACCAAGTGTGACCCAGACCTCCACAATACAGTTTTTATATTTTGAAATATAATAATATATATATATATATATATATATATATATATATATATATTCATTTTGAA